GAAATAAAATCCTGGATACGGCCCTGGCCGTTATAACCCCCCATCGAGCGCTTAAGCCCTAATAATAATTTTACACAAGCGGTACCTGCAAGAAGCTTTCCTTTTTGTTGAATTTCAAACTGATGATATCTAGTTTTAGCTACATTTTTTTGAAGTCAAGTAGCATTATGGCCAATTTATAGAACATTTAACTGCATTCAAATTTTAATTTGCAAATTATTTGACGTTTAAGAACGCAAAATGAATGACAACAGAATTCGAAGCAGGGACACAGTGTGTCCCCGTTTAGGAGAAACGACTTTGGTAAAAGATAAATAAATTTCGCTCTAAATTAGCACTGCTTATTAGTTAAAGACTAATTTCTAACATAATTTTGGGTTCTTCTAAGAAAACTATCATAATAGAAGAATTCGTTAGAAATTTGATTTAGTTAATCCTGAAATTTTAAAGAACTAAAACTTTTTCTTTTTGGCAGAAATTACTAAACGGGTTACATTTTTTGGTATAATTTGGAACATATAAATAGTATTGTTTGTTTCTAGTATCTATTACTAATTATTCTATTATTAATTACGAGCATTGGAGCTCTTTACACACCCAAGCCGGTTTTGTGCAGTTTAAAAAATAATTGCCGACATTTAGTGCTTTTATTTAATTATGAATGTAGTTACGTTTGGTTGAAACTAGAAAATTCACATTATAAATAAAATATTTATGTAACACAATTAAGCTGGGCTTTTGCTTGTTTTGAAACTCAAATCAGATTTGCACGCAGTTCTACTAATGTCTTTTAATCTTTAAAAGCAAGATTAAATAAGCTCAATATCCCACTAGATTTTAAGAATCATGGACTACTTCATTAACATTCATTAACATAGGGTAAATAAGAAAGCGCAATGAATAAGGTTAAATTATTTGTTTTTATAATCAAAATTTATATTAAAAAAAAACAGTTTATTCATCGTCGAAGGTAAAATAATTATTTTTGTTCCAAGTACTTAAAATACAGTTTTTGCTAACGAATCACGGCGAAGCCGTGTCTGGAATAGCAAAGGAGTTTGCAAAAACTTTTTTGGTACGTGTTACATGCAAACAACATTTTTTGTTAAATCCCCCAAAAACCATTTAAACCTCTTATTATGTATGATTAATGTAATAATTCATTAATAAAAAATCATTGAGCGGCAAAATTATGGAATAATTATATTTTGGCAAAAATACTCGAACAGGTCAATATTCTTTTTACATATTTTACATAATAAATACATAATTTTTAACTTGATTTAAAATTTTACACTTTTTGGTTTTTGAGTAATGAGGTCATCGACATTTTTTTTTTAATGGAAACCCTTAATTTTTTTAGCCAATTCGATAAATCTTTTAATTATCAAAACGACAACACCAAAATACAGCGTGATCATTTAGAACTGTTTAAGTTGTATTAAATATTATGAGTACCTAAAGTTTTTGAAAAAAAATTACTAAAAAAGTGAAGTAATATCAACGAAAAACATACATACAATTTTACATCAAGTTGAGAATTTTATACATATTTTTAAAAAAGAAAATTGACCAAATCGAGCATTTTTGTCAAAACAAGATACAAAGTGATTCACGAGGAATAATGAGCCTGACCAAATTCTCGATGCAACCACCATTACTCTTCGCAAGTTATTTTGCGACAACTGTAATGTTGGTTTCATCGAAAATTTGGTCAGACTCATTATTCCTCGTGAATCACCCTGTATTTTCAGTTTTAATAAAATTATTCCATAATTTTTATTTAATTAATAAAAATAGAAAATTCTTATAGCAATTAATTAAACAGTTTATCGTTTTAACTTTAACAAATAAATTTACAAAACGTAATTGTAGAACTGGATCCATTTTCTCCCAAAGTGGATGTTTTATAGTTTTAAACAGTAAGTAATATTAAAGTCAACTCCACAAATTGATTTATTTAGTCAAATTGGGACATGTTTCGGCACCCTTGCGCCATCATCAGCCACTGAAAATTGTTACACTTTAAAATAAAAAATAAAAAACTTACAAGATTAAAAAATTTAAATGTTTACTGTTAAAAATTTTTCCTGATTATAACAAATGGAAACAAAATTTTGTAATTAAATGTTCAAAAATTTTCACGTCGAGGCTTCAGCTTCACTGACCTCGTCCTTTTACTTTTTTACAGAGAAATAATGTTTAAATCCTATTCCTTCTATATATTTTTCAATTTGTTATAATCAGGAAAAAAAATTTTAACAGTGAACATTAAAATTTTTTAATCTGGCAATTTTTTTATTTTTTATTTTAAAAGTGTAACAATTTTCAATGGCTGATGATGGCGCAAGGGTGCCGAAATATGTCCCAACTTGACTAAAGCAAATTTATCGATTTGTGGAGTTGACTTTAATATTACTTACTTTAAAAAAAAAATTACAAAACGTTGTTTAAACTTTGCATAAATCTCTTTCTCCCCTGTTTGAAAAACAATTTCTTATCAAGGAAAACCTGCACATTTCTTATTTCTAAAATTCCGATTTGTGCGGCTCCTGCGAGGAAAAAAGCGTCGCTCGTCGTCCTCATCGACTTGCGCCACCTTGAAAAACAAAATAGATATCGAAATTGTATTTATTTATTAAAAATGTGTTCCAAATGAATAGGCCCCAGTTAAGGTTGTAAAATGGTTTTATATACAGGCTGCGCCAGAACTCGCGTCCCTGAGAAAAATAAGATAAAATACCAGGAACATGAAAAAAATGTTAAAAAAATTTTATCTCTAAAAACTTCGAAGTTACGAGAGTTTGCACTTTGACTATTTATTTCTGTTTGAAAAATAATTTTTCAAGTTTTTTTGCTACAGGCTTTTAGGATAGGAAACAAGGAAGCTGTATCCTAAATTGTAATTCTGTTTAATGTTATTTGTGGCTTTTATTGGCAAAATTTTTGTACCTTTGCTAATACTAAATAATTATAAAAAAAACAAAAACAAGATTTTCAGTATCATTAAATAGACATAAAAAATGTCAAATGTCAAAAAATAAATGTCAAAATTTTTTGACAGATAGAATTTTTTAAACATTTTTTTCATGTTTCTGGGATTTTATCTTACTTGAAATTTTTCTCTGGGGCACGAGTTCTGGCGCACCCTTCTTTTTCATATTAACGTGCATCAAGTATTTTGTAAAAGTCTAAATTCAAAGACTGATTCACACAAAAAGTGTTATTCAGAATAAATTTAATCACATCAATGATGACAAAAATCTTTATGTTTGCAACCCTATGTTAATTGCATTATTAATTTTAATTATTTTTTGCTACCTGGGGTACCTACCTACACATTTATTTGAAAAAATAATTTTTAGGGATGAGGTTGAGGTTAGGATTGTTTAAATTTTTGCATGGTTACCACCTCGGTTGCCACCTTAAAATGATCTCTTTCAACGAATACTTCGATGCACATTAATATCAAAACGAATGTAGGTATTTTATTGAAAAGTATTGTCAAATTATTATGGGAACCTACTAAATACTACTCTTACTAAGTAGTTTTGATTTAAAGAACATGTTTTATCCTAGAAACTTAGAAATACACTAAATAAAATAAAATAATTAAGCCATGAAAAAGCCATAAAAAAATAAGTGTAAATATAGTGGATAATCATGTTTACACGTTTTCGTACAAGTTGATTTAGTTATTATTATTTTATAACTTTACAATTTTT